ACGAATTTGAATGATACGAACATTGTACCGTGAATATTCAAAATATCAATATTTGCTAAGTGTCCGTATATTTGTGTAACACAGTGATTGCACACAATTTCAATTAATTTGCATCGCGAAAATGCATTAAACCAACAATTTCGTAATCCTAATGTAAACTGAATGACGTTTCACAACAACTAAGCAATAACCCAATCCTTTCGTAATTAACCAAAATACATCGCAATTTATAAACACAAGCTAATAACAGTGTCTAAATATTTTTAGCCACAACTAACACTATATTTGCAGAATTTCATAAAAAAAATCACACGTGATTCCTAACGTACATCAATATCTCATTAACTGCCACGTTATAATTCCTGCACGCTCAACTTCGGGCAAGCTTTGAACGCGCGTTTATCTTTACAAGCCGATGATCTAATTAATTCCCACTTCGCGCGCGTGCACGTTAAAGTTTACACCGACAGTATGTTGCTAAACACGCGAATTCCGGTTAATCCCGCTACGAAATATTTCCGCTGGAAATTCGATTGCGACCATGTTAAACAATAACGTCGCCGCGTTTCGCCTTAATAACCGCATCGCAGCCTGTCTGCGCGACAATTTGTCAAACGAGCTTCTGCGTATCCCCGAATGTTCCCTATTTTGTTCGATTGGTATAAAAAAACGCGTGCTCTCGTAACGAAAATTCGTTCAATCCGGATCGACTGCCCGGTGTCGATAATTAAAACGAACAACGAACGATAAAAGGGACGAGCAATCGGCCAAAGTGATTTGCCGTGAAATGAAATTTCCCGAAAAGGTTTTCCTTCAATTTAAATCGGCAAGTGTTTATTTATCCCGGTTGCTCGTATTGAATTTACCAGGAATTCCGTCGTTTTGCCGGGGAAGTCGAAACAGGCGGAAACTGTTTCCACGTTTGCACAAATGGTACGAGCTGATTCTTAATTAGTATTCAGACAGCTGGCGTTTATTGTTGCTTGTGTTAAATCAATTTGTCCCGGGGATTTGGTTCTTTGATGCAAGAATTTCTTTTTTAGAGATTCAGATTCGTTGATCTTGTGATACACGCGTGTAGAACTTTGTTTTTGTGTTAATTAGTGGACAAGTAGGTACGAAGAATTTTCAGATAGTGAAATAATTTTCTCTACTATCGATTTTCAAAGATCTGATAAAAATTGTCATTTAGAGATTTTTGTGAATCTAAAGAAAATCGTAATCTATAGGTCTTTATCAATCTAATGAAAATTGTAATTTATAGATTTTTATAAATCTAATGAAAATCATAATTTATGGATTTTTATCAATCGAATGAAAAGTGTAATTTATAGATTTTTATAAATCTAACGAAAATCATAATTTATAGGTCTTTATAAGTTGAATAAAAATCATACTTTGTATTATTAAAAAGAATTGAATACAATTTATCGACAGATGTCTGAACGACTGGTAAATTATTAGATGCAAAAATATTACAGTATGTAGGGTTAGTCCATGAATTTCAGCGAGTTTCATACGTTCATATGTACATATACAACAAACTTAATTAAAAAATATCACAATGTTTCTATCACGATTCGTTTCTCTTCTAATAATTACTCAATTTTTACGTAAATTCGTTGTAATTACAAAACATAACTCCGATCGCTCTGTATAGCATGTTACACTTCCATTAGGCTCGTTTTTATTACACGAGCTCGCAGAACACACCTTGAAATTGTCGAACTCCGATTAGAAATTACTCTGCATATGATCCACGAGGGTAAATTGGAAAACATAGGCGTCTCTCGTATTTCGTGTTTCACGCGAACCAAGGGTGGGTTTATTTTCGCTGAAGACTCCATTGTAACGCGGAACACTAACGAGCGCATACAACCGCCGCATTATGGCCCACGAACGTGCATTATTATTCACGTTGCGTGATAACGGCGATTGTGTTAGGATCACTGTAAATATTCCGTCCAGTCGAACGAATAAGCCGTAAGTGTGCTGTAATTTTTTGTTAATCGACGGTGAATATCGGTAAAAATATTCTTACCGTTCAGTCATTTATCAAAAAGAAAATTAGCGTGAACGAGGAAAATTAGTGAAATTTTATTTTTTTAATGCAGCTTCGAGGTGAATTTATTCAAACTTAAAATGTAAAAAAAATAGCAGAGGATAGTTGAACGATTAAGGAATACAGTAATGTGAATAACTGTTTACAATGTGTTTCGTACCGAACATTTTTTTGTCTATTTTCACATCGAGCCTTTCTCCTTTTATTTTTATAGCTTAAGGAAATTGTAAGACGGGCCTGAAGAATCCGCGACCCATAGGATTAGCCGGGGCCGTTATTAAGCGCGTACCCTCGGTAATTTCACCACCAGAACTCAGTTTATTAACCATTGTCCCGATTTTACAATTACTGAACTAGTGTCTTCCTTCTCTCATGTCCTATCTCCTTTTTTCGGAATTCCCCAAAACCCCGACACCTCATCCTTCTACCACCACTTCCCACCACCACACCCTACGACCAATACTTAATGTTCTTATTTCTCCCATTTTTCACTTCCAAAATTAAACTCCGCCCTCAGTAGCTGAGATGCGTGACTTCCTCTGAATTTCGAATCAGTATCATTCTGAACGTTAAACAACCAAGTATTGAGTCAGTCCGAGCGCTGAACGCATAATCAAGTCGTTTATATTATAACGTTGGAGAAAGGGTATTCCGGGATCGCTTCAGACCTCGTTAGAAAACAGTCCGATTTTTCTCTCGTGATCCAAGTTTGAAACATAACTCAAACCGACGCGAGTACACGACAAATACCTTACGAGTTATTTGAGGTCGTCATGTTAGGACACTCACACTGTATATTAACATATTTATATTAAACCAAGTTTTGATATTAACGAATATCATTAAAATTGAAAGGAATAGAGCGAACCAGAACGGAGTCCAGTAGTAAGGATTTTTTTTTTAATACCGAAAGTGTTTCGATTACCTGTGTATGACCTGCTGCATTTAAAGTGAGGTTTCCGAGTCTAAAAAATAGATTGACATTGTGCCAGGCATTATTTAATAGCCTAGCGTTCAGTCTCGCTTTATAACGTTGCTGGTCAACAATGGCAACGAACAAGAGTCCGTCTGGGGTCACTTCAAGACTAATCGAATCCTCGTTGTATTTTTGTATGAACAGGCGGCCACCTTCGCAGGTTCGAAAACTCAACCCACTGTGCCTATGTACCGACACGAACGAGCTCAGTTTCAGGAACGCCGATCCGTTGAAATATGCTTCCCGCGGATGTTCATTGTAGTTTTTGTGCCTGGTATCTTGCGGCGCTTCGTCAGTGACTACTAACAAGCTAGTGAGTACTGAAACAAAAATTGAAAGAAATTAACTTTTGCGCTATTTCTCGCGTATGGAAATTGCTGTTATGTGAGCCGTTCGGTTAACTCGACGAAACGAAAAGTAGAGAAAATTGCATTAAAAAAATTACTTATCTAAATTCTTACAAGCGTTTGAATTACATTGTTATAACGATTTACTTTCGAGTATGGAGTTGATCACCATTGGCTTCTGAGGTGAATTGTTCATCATTCAACGGCCGTAGAAATTTATTTCATTTAGTGGTGTTAAGCCTATCTGATTATCGAGGAAGTTTATTTTTAATACAGAATGATAAGTATCGATCAAGTGCTTTGGACCTAAAATTTCAAAGAAAATCCAATGGTGGAGTCAACCATTTTGGCCTGTGAACGATACGTACATTCTGGAGTTGTGTGAATGGCGAAAGTAAATAGAGAAAAAATTTCATTGAAATTAAGAATACACGAAATTACACGAAAAACAAAATTTTCACAGATCATACATTCTTTTTTTGATGTAGCATTAACTTAAATTGTTATCGACTATGCAAAACAATATTTTATAATAGCTTGTAAATAAATTTGAAGGAAATGTAAAGGAAATTCGAAGTAATATAATTTAGGCAGCTAATTATTTATAGAGATTTTAATCTTTATGATCGAATGCTTGAACAATCATGGACATTGATTGAAAGTAGGAAATGCAAGACGTTGTAATAGACGATACTATAATACACGTCTGTCCTAATTTCAGTTATCAATAGTAGCCTGGAAGTTCAGCGAGGTAATGTACGAGCGTGTTGGATTCCAATCGATATACACTGCTGTTCATAAGTATTAGGATACCCATTATATTCGTGCAGAAAGTATTATATAATTTAAATTACATTTCCTATATTAGTGAAAAGATACATACACTACCGACCAAATGTTTGGAATAACTGTGCATTGCAAGTTGCACAAAAATTTCCCCAAATTAGCATTTGTAATAAATTTTCCAACGAATTTTTTATCATTGAAATCAATCGAAATGAGGTAAAGTGCTGTTGATCTCCACAATATGAATTTCAAATCAATAAAGAATTAGTAGCAGATTCAATATTAATATAAATTGGCAGGTGATTCCAAA